TCGATGTAGTTGAGCCAAGACAACGGGAGGGGTTTGGAATATTCGATTCAAAAAGAGCAGAGGCCAGAGGTGTTTATGAAGATACCATGTGTCTTCTCAGAAGGGAGTTGGGTTTCTAGAAAACTATAAACGTAGGGATGGGAGAAGAGGTAAATGGGGAGGAGAAGGGCCCCCCGGCACTAGGTCGGGGTGTCTTAATTTACTTCCTGTTGCTGTGGTAACACACTGACCAAACCAACTTGGGGAGGAAAAGGTTTAGTTCAGCTTACAGTTTACAGCCCATCATGTAAAGAAGTCAGGCCAGGGACCTGGAAGCGGGTACTGAAGCAGAGACCATGCTGGATCACTGCTTGGTAGTCAGCTCTCCATGGTCACTCAGCCTCCACCTGCTTTCATTAAAACAAAAACCTTAGGACCACCTGTCCAGGACTAGCACCACCTGCAAGTTACCTGGCCCTCCTAAACCAATCATTAATCAAGAAAATTCCCCCACAGACTTACCTAGAAGCAATCTGATGGGAGCATTTTCTCAACGGACTTTCCTCTTCCAGGAGGACTCGTTTTTGTCAAGTTGGCAAAACAAAACAAAACAAAAAAACAAACAAAAAAAAAACAAAAAAAGAACCAAGACAGTCAGTAAGACGCTGATACCATGCTAGAACTAGCGGCTCGCTCCCATGATCGCACGGTTTTGCCAACTTTTATCTCCCTTCCCCGGGAAGGGCTTCTGCTCTTCTTGGGAATGTTATCACACTCGGAAGCAAGGCTCTGGGGAAGGAAGCAGGTGGGGTAGTTCATCCAATAAAACTGACCCTTCGGTGGAAACCTGAGCAGTAGCTCCGGGCTGACAAGTCTTCAGGGTCCAAGACGCAGGGAACTAAGCAGCTCCTGGTCTCTTTGGGCTGTGTTCTGTCTGACCCAGGGCACACAGAGGACACCAGCATGGACGACCCAAACTGGTGTCGATTCCTCCAGGTTATCAACCTGAGCCTCCTCAGCTGTGGCCTCAGTGTTCCAGAACTCAAGAGAGGGGGAGGGTAGAGAGCTTGATCCTCTGTCACATCCATGGTTCTGGGGGGGGGGGCAGCAGAAATGCAGAAGAACACACATGGTGCTTCATCCGTGCTTTATTTTACAGAAAAACCCGGATATTTACATCTCGGTGATTTTTATATTTCACATGGTTGGGGAGGGCGCGGGGCTGGAACTCAGAAGAGATTTAGAGGTGGGGGTAATAGGAGAACTTGGTAACCCAGAGAGGAGGTAGTTGAGGGATTGCTGCTAGGAAAGTCAGGGTTCCCACTACCTCCTTGCATCCTGGGCCTGCAGGCCTTCTGCCTGTGGCCAGCTCTTCCCTCTTCTCCTCAACTCTTCCTGGAAAAGGGAGCCCAAAGGAGTAGAGGAAGGAGGGAGGACGGGGAGGAGGGTGGAGAAGAGGAAGGAGGGAGGATGGGGGAGGAGGGTGAAGAGGAAGGAGGAAGGACGGGGAGGAGGGTGGAGAAGAGGAAGGAGGAAGGATGGGGGAGGAGGGTGGAGAAGAGGAAGGAGGAAGGAGGGGGAGAAGGGTGGAGAAGAGGGAGGAGGAAGGACGGGGAGGAGGGTGGAGAAGAGGAAGGACGGGGGAGGAGGGTGGAGTAGAGGAAGGAGGAAGGACGGGGAGGAGGGTGGAGAAGAGGAAGGAGGAAGGACGGGGAGGAGGGTGGAGAAGAGGAAGGAGGAAGGACGGGGGAGGAGGATGGGGAAGAGGAAGGAGGAAGGACGGGGGAGGAGGGTGGAGAAGAGGAAGGAGGAAGGACGGGGGGAGGAGGGTGGAGAAGAGGAAGGAGGAAGGACGGGGAGGAGGGTGGAGAAGAGGAAGGAGGAAGGACGGGGAGGGAGGGTGGAGAAGAGGAAGGAGGAAGGACGGGGGAGGAGGGTGGGGAAGAGGAAGGAGGAAGGATGGGGGAGGAGGGTGGAGAAGAGGAAGGAGGAAGGACGGGGAGGAGGGTGGAGAAGAGGAAGGAGGGAGGACGGGGGAGGAGGGTGGGGAAGAGGAAGGAGGAAGGACGGGGGAGGAGGGTGGAGAAGAGGAAGGAGGAAGGACGGGGAGGAGGGTGGGGAAGAGGAAGGAGGAAGGACGGGGAGGAGGGTGGGGAAGAGGAAGGAGGAAGGACGGGGGAGGAGGGTGAAGAGGAAGGACGAGGACTAGCAATGAGCTCTGCTAATTCGTACTCTTCCAGTTTTAGCTCTCCATTTGGTTTTGGTTTCTCATTTTGGTGAACTGTTAGCAAGCCGTGGTCCACCTAAAGTTCTCCTCAGGCGAAGAGAAGATGCGGTTGGCACCAGCTAATGGCACAGCACTCAGAGCCCAAGGCTGTACATACCAAGTCCTGGCATTTCTACCACCACGGTCTTAGCCCCTGGAGTGGATTCTTTCCCATGGACACTGTTTGGGAAGATTTTGTTAAAGACAACAACAGAGGCCTCATAGGCTCTAAACAGTTCAACTTCCCGTCTTGTGATGAGTCAAGGACACATGGTCTTTCCTGTCAAATCCAGACATGTAGAACAGAGACCTGGAGATTTGCTTAGGAGAAGACACGTGGTCTTTCGACTGCTCACAGAGGACGGAAACAAAGCCGAAACATACGGACTTGCTAGAAATTCAGCCACTAACAAAAACCAAAGAAACTTTACTACTCAATCTTATTTGGGGTAAAGGTACATGAACTAGCATTTTGGGTTGGTTGGTTGGTTTGTTGAGATAGAGTCTCATGTAGCCTGGGCTAGCCTCAAACTCGCTATGTAGCTGAGGATGACCTCAACTCTCCATCTCTCTGCCTCCACAGCCCACATGCTGGAATTACCAGTGTGCACCACCACCCTTGGCTGGCTAGACGTCCTGAATAATAGTTTATAGAGGACAACTTCAACTCCCGTGTCCCTTGCCTCTTCTTTAACTAGAAAGACCGGCTGTGGCCGCCGTCCAGACCTTTACAAGCAGACAATTGGGTGACAAGTGTCACACTAAAGCTCGCTGCCTGAAAGGACGGACACACTTCCCTAGAAGACATCTTTACCCACAACTCCTGTATTTCCCGACCACCCACACGCGGCTGGTTCCTTAACTCCAAAGGGACCAACGATCCCATAATCTAGGGTGACTTTCGAGAAGTCAAGGCTCCCAGAAATAATAGCGGTTTTGTCATAATCTCAGAGAACGACCAAGTCTCGGGAAAACAACATAAGGCCTTTTCCCACCAAGGGCTCTCGGTCAGCGCTGGGGAAGTAAAGAGGACAGGCACCCTGAAACAGATAAATAAGTGAGCCATCATTCAGTGAATGCCTACTCTGGAGCCGCCCCGGGACCTAAAGAAGGGATGAAGAACGCTTTTTCTGCTTTGGAGTCTTTGGAAGGCCAGGGTGTACTCAGCGAGCCATCGGGATTTAGACATGCTTCAAGTTCCACGCGTGGCCTCTCATTTGTCCCCCTATCCAGCTTGTTGACCTATGCCAGAACTGTCACTGGGCACTGGGGTCAGAGGGAGACCGCGAAGAAGCTGAGCTATGGAAAGGTGGCTAGTAAACTTAGAGAAGGACCTTGTCAGCTTGTTTTAAAGGTGGAGTTCTTGGAGAGAAGGATCGGCTAAGGAGCACGATGGCAGTCGGTCGGGATGGAGCGCCACTCGGCCTCAGGATCCAGACTCAGTCTTCTCAATATAAATGATGTTGGGGGTTTCCAGGAGCAATTATCACCTCTGACTGAGCCTTGGATCCCCCCCCACTTCCTACCTTCTTCCCTGATATTGAATTTCTGTGTTTGCAATCGGGCGGGAGGCACTCTGTCATCCCTCAATGCGCTTGGGAAAGCATAAGGTAAGGAAGGTCATAACGGAAGAGGCCTGTCGGGGACACCCATGAGTTCCAGATAGCTACAAGACTCCCTAAAATGAAATACCCACAATACAAATATCCCTTTTCTTGGGTTGCCTACCACTCCCAGAAACAGGATTGGGATGAGACGAGAGGTCCAGGCTGTGGCAGGAGGGAAACAATGTAAAACCATACAAAGGTAACATCGAGTTAGGGAGTCCCATAGACCCATAGACTTCCCAGTGTGCACTTGGCCAGGACCCGAGAATCCTGTCTTGCTGGGGGCAGAAATGTCACTGGTACTTGAGGTTGTGTGGCGTGGGAGCGCACGCACACAAGAGTCTCTTCCTCCCTGCCCACGTCGTGGGCGGAAGCAGGCTCCTCCAGGTCTCTGGGCTGGTAGAAGGGGTAGGGTGGGCAGCAGAATGTCTCTGCTAAGTGATCCAATCACCAGTCACCTCTGATACTTCACCCCAGGATGGCTTCCGAGGGGCTTTCAAGGAGGTGGCATCTTGTGATGTCACCGGGTAGCACTCCATGGTATGAAGATGAGTCCCCTGGGAGAAAACCATGCTAAGTTCTGTGAGATATTTATAAGTATTTCACAAAAAGCAAACAGAAACCTACCATCAGGTAATTAAGTTTAACCGCTGCAGGAATTAAGTTAAAAGGTCCCAATTCTCGGGACCTTTTAGACACTAACATGACCCCATGACTCTTAAGAAAGGGGCATACTGTGCACCATTTTCCAAAGCGTTTTTTTTTTTTTTTTTTTTTTTTTTTTTTTTTTTTGCTTCCAAGCACTTTTGCATGGCAAAGGTCACGAGTCACAGGGGAGCTACTCCCGCGTGTTTGGTAGTTGTCTTCCGTGCCTGTCCCCCTGATCGCCTGTACACTCTCTGCCAGCTGTCTTTTACTTTCCTCCTTTCTCCTAAGCAAGTTTCCAGGTCTCTGTTTTACATATTTGGATTCGACAGGGAAGAGCCCGAAGGGGGCAAGGCCAAAACAAGTCCTGCCCTGGAAGCACTCATTGCTCATAGCCATGGGAAGAGCACATCCGAGCCAGGCGTGGTTGGCCATCCTGCTGTGGAGTTCTAGTTGTACTTTTTTTTTTTTAATAGATATATATAATATATAAGCAGCCATCATTGAGAGAGGAGAGGATGAACAAGGAAGGGCATTTACAAGTGAGAGGCAAAGAGGGACCCAGAGGGCCAGAAGACTCCAGTCGCCGCAGCCGCGGAGCCTCGGCCTGCCAACACGGTTCCCTCCGCCCTCAGCAGCAGATCTCCGTCCACGGGAGCCTGTGGGTTCCCAAACTGGCTTCCATCGGGCTCTACAAAGCGATTTCCCTCCAGCCCGGTGGCCCCCGGCTGCTGGCGGGAGACGAGGGTCACTGCGGGGAGGCCGCGGCTCTCTAGCCCAGGAGGCTGCCCGGCCTCGGCAGCTTCCAGGATCAGGTCCACGTCCGAGAAGGCCACCAGCGCCTGGGTGGAGTCGCAGGAGCTCTTGTCCAGCTCCGCGGCGGCTGCAGCAGCTGCAGCAGCAGCAGCAGCAGCAGCAGCAGCAGCGTAGGCCGGGGCCCCCGGGGAGCGCGGGCTCGGGCGGAGCCTCCGCAGGTCCTCCCGGCAGTGCGGGTTGAAGAGCAGGTAGAGCAGCGGGTTGAGGCAGGCGGGCAGGGGCAGCACCACCAGGAGGACGGACTTGACGGCCTCGGGCGTGACCGGGAAGAGGCCCAGCATGGAGGCGAAGCTCAGGAAGGCCACGGGGCAGTGGAGGAGGCCGTCGGCAAAGATGAGCCAGGCCACGTGGCGCACCATGGCGCAGTCCCACACGGCCTCCAAGTCGCCGCGCGGCAGCTCGCAGTAGAGCTTGATGTAGGCGCCGGCCACCACCAGGAAGCAGAGCGAGTTGACCATCACCAGGGCCACGGCGAAGCCCAGGGCATCCGGCCGGCCCTCGGGCGGGGCGTAGGGCAGGCAGAGCGGGGACGCGCCGTACTCGCCCACCGACGCCAGCGGCAGCGCGGCCGCCAGCCCGGCCAGCGCCAGGCACCCGAGCGCGCCCGCGCGCACGCTGCCCGCAGCCGGCGCCTTGCCGTAGGCGCGGACGCAGGTCACCGACACGCTGCACTGCACGGCGGCCAGCGTGAGCAGCAGCACCGACGCCTCCGACCCCAGCACGGCCAGGAAGCCCGTGGCCTGGCAGCCTAGCCCGCTCTCCCAGCGGGCGCCGTACTCGGCGAACTGGCCGAAGGTCAAGGCGTCCACCGAGGCCAGGAGACCGCACGACACGCCGGTCAAGGCGTTGGCGCCTGCGATCGCGCCCACCACCAGCTTGACCGGGGACAGCGGGCCCGGCCCGCCGGCGAAGACCGTCAGCAGCACCAGCCCGTTGCAGAGTACCGAGAGCAGCACGATGGCCCACACCGCAAGGCGGATGCCCCAGCTCTCAAAGAGATGCTCGCAGGGCTTGAAGGGGCCTGTGAGAGAGGGGGACACACATAAGCCCCGCGCACGGCCAGGCTGTAAGCTCAGACGACTCCCAAAGCGAGGGACACTAACACTAGAGAGTTTCGGGCTCAGAAAGGCAGACTTGGCCTCCTCAGAAACTCCTGGAATCAGGGGGAGGAACTATAGAGAACCTGCAAAGGTAATACACAGAAGTAGATGCACGGTACGACGGAAACCCAGGCCTGTGGAAATGCTACGAAAAGCAGTCTTTCCAAAGAAGCAACATTTGGAGAGGCGGAAGGAACTAACTGGCGTACACGGAAGTGAAGGGCAAAGGCAGATGAGGAGCTGTCCAGAGTAAGTGGCTCTGGCCAGAGAATCATTCGAGTTTCTGTGGTCGAGAAGTCCTGAGTAGATATAGGCTAGTTCTCCGTTGCATTAAACACAGTGCAGGCCCATCAGGCAATCAGTATTTGGAGACCAAGTACATAATGGAAATGTAGAAAAATCTGCCAAGTATGGTAAGTAGTTCACGTCTGTAATGCGGCACTCAGGGAGCTGAGGCAGGAGGATAATGACTTTGAGGCCAGTCTGAGATTATAGCAAGGCCCTAACTAGAAACAAAGAAAAAAAAAATACTTTGAACTTCTGGAGTTTTCCAACTTGACTCCACATTAGGTGGGTTAGACCCTGGCGTTTTTCCGTCTGTCTCCAGTGCCTATGCTCAAAGTCACCTTGTATAACTTTGGGCATATTATTTCTTCACTTCCTTTGGCTTCAGACTTGTTTTTCAGTGTATTTCTAGGTGGCTTGGGAATTTAAGAGATTTCTGTGGGAGCTATTTTTAAAACTTTTTTTCTGATTATGAAATAATAGATGGTAATTGCAGGAAATTAGAAAAACATAACATGGAAAAATTAAAACTGCTTATGACCTCACCTCTCAAAAAGGGCTCGTTATTTTAGCATATTTTCTTCCAGGTATTAATTTATTACTTAAAATACATTGAGTTTTTTTTCTCTTTAGGTTTTGTATATTTCCTTACTACCTCAAAATGTACTTTCAGTGGCATATAATAAATACCCCACCATAAGATGTTCAGTAATTCACTTAACTGCTCGTGTGAGCTATTTTTAAAGTTGGACCTTGTTTTTCAGAGTTTTCTCTTTACCTCACCCTTGCTGGTTGCTGACTTTCCTATATGCAATTCTTGAGGCCGGTGAAGCCTGTGTTTTCTGGCAAACTATGCCGCTAGTTTTCGTCCCCATCGGACACTAGGGGGAGCGCTATTGCCACTAAGTGCTGAGAGTTGGTGTTGAGCAAGGTCAGGACAGAAAGCTTTCTGGGCAAGGGGCTTAAGCCAATAAAGTCTGGAAACCTGGAAAACGGAGGTGGAATGAAATAGAAACAGCTAACTGTTCATCGTTTTGTGTTTATTCTGAACAGTTCTTGGCCCAAGCAGCTCTCTGCTGTCTTTTGGCATGGCCTGTTGGCATTTTATTTTATTATTTGGTTTTGGTTTTTTTGAAACAGGTTCTCACTATGTAACTCTGGCTGTCCTGGAACAGGGTGGCCTTAAACTCACAGAGTTTATCCTCCTCTGCCTTCTGAGTGCTGGAATGAAAGGCGTGCACACCAGGCCTTTCATCAATTGTTTTGCTAAATGCTAATTAATTTAATTGTTAGCATTTTATATACAGGAAAGGGACTCTTTACTCTTAGAAAGAAAGAAAGAAAGAAAGAAAGAAAGAAAGAAAGAAAGAAAGCTTAGGTTGTCTGTCCTCAAGGAAAAAGAGCCCCTCCCTTCTCCTTAGAAGGAGAACAACGTGGCTCTAATGTCTCTAGGTTAAATGTCAGAGGAGGCTTCCTTGGGGTTAGATAGACATTAGAAATTGTTCAGAGACGCTGGAGTGTTTCCACCCTGGAAGACTTTAATGAAGAGAGCTTCCACTCTTTGTGGGATGGAGAAGGTGCTCTTTTAGAGGCCCACCGAGCTCTGTGAGCCTGTGGTGTGTGTTTAGGGAATGTTTGTTCAAAAAGCAGCCACCGCAGCCACCGCAGCCACAGCCACGATTCTGTCTCACTTCTCTCTTCCACGAGAGCAAGTCTTTCCTAGACACATAACCTCTGATTGTCTGAATTGTGATGGCTGTTTGACCCTTCCCCTCCACCCCCACCCCGTGCTTCTCCTGTGTAGACACCCGAGGGAAAGAACGCCTCTCCTCGAGGATTATAAGAGGCTCCCCCACCCCACTGGGAAAAAAGAATATCTACAACATGGCCGTGGACTAAACTGGCTGCTCATCCAGGTGTCTGTGCCCTCCCCAGCCGCCCATCTCACCTGGAACAGGGCTGCATTGGACACTGGGTTGTGGCTTGGAGTCCTCCCTCTCCAACTGGAGCTCGTCCAGGTCTAGGTCATCTGAGAAGGGGAAACAGAACATGGCTAGAGTCTCAGTGTCTGTCAGGAAAGCCCACCTTTGTCTTAACTTGCACCCGTCTATGCTGACATGCCCCCTCCTAACTGCTCAGCGCTGCTCATCCAGCAGTCCTGTGCATCCATGTCTACTCTTGGGTGTTGGTATTTGGGTAGCTCCACGTTCTCTGCTTGTGGGTTTTGTGTATTTCTAGTTCTCCACAATGAACATTTCACTGTCCGATATTCTTCATTTGCTTGTGCCGAGTCATCTTTAGTCCCTGAGTACTGCTTAGAGTGTGGCTGGTGGCTGCTCTAATAAGAGAGGCTAGTGATTACATAGTTCTCCCTCCAGCCAGCCTGTCTTTGCAACTCCATGTCCTGTTATGAAAACTACGCATTAAGAATGTTGGTGCTGGGCATGGTGGGGCATGCCTATGATCCCAGAATTTGGTAGGTGGAGGCAGGTGGATGGAGGGTCCAAGGTCATCCTCATCTACAAAGCAAATCTGAGGCAAGTCTGGGCTACGTGAAACCTCTTTCTCAACAGCAAGCACGAAGGCTTGACTTAGACCCTCAGCAGCCACACAGAAGCCAGGCATGGCGGGACAGGGATGGGAAGATGGGATACAGGGACGAGAGGAACCCTGTATCTCTCTGGCCATGAGCTCTGGGCTCAGTAGGGGACCCTGACATAGAAAATAAAGTAGAAAGTAATAGAGGAAGACATGCACCATCAACTTTCGACCCTCAGAGCCATATGCATACACACACACACACACATGCACACTCACACACACACACGCACTCAAACACATGCACACACACACTCATATGCACACTCACACACGTGCACACACTCACACACGTGCACACACACTCACACGCACACACACACGTGCACACTTACACACACACTCATATGCACACTCACACACGTGCACACACACACACTCAAACACATACACACACTCATGCACACTCACACACGTGCGCACACACACGTGCACACACACTCACACACACACTCAAACACATGCACACACACACTCATATGCACACTCACACACGCACACTCACACTCGCACACTCACACTCGCACGCACGCACACCCACGTGCGTGCACACACTTACACACGCACACACGTGCACACACACTCACACGCACGCACACACGCTCACAAGCACACACACTCACACACATGCACACGCACACACACTCACACATACACGCACGCACGCACACACGCATGCACGCACACGCCAGAGTGGCTTCTGGACTAAGGCTGGTATCTGGGGCTTCGATTGTCTCGTCAGCTTCCTCCATCACAGAGGAGCAAACAGATGACATTGCTGTGTCCTTGTCTCAATCTTTGGCTCACGTGGGCTGGTTCCTGTGTAGATGCTTTCTCCCCCTTAGCAGGTAAACATCTGCTAGGAGTTCCCTTTAGCCGGGGCAGCCTCGGGGCAGATGGAAGGCAAAGGTGTGCCCACGCAGTCCTGTCCGTTTCCTCCCTTCTCAACCTTTCCTTCCCGCCTGCCCATGAGCTCCAGAAAGGACTTCAGCAAGTCTTTGAAATCAAGATGCATGAATGAAATACAAGGAGCGAACCCTTGCAGACTCTGTCTGAGGCTGGGAAAGTCACAGCCAAGGTGTTAAGTAACCATTCTTCAAATGAAGAGGAAATCGAATCTGGCTGGAAAGCAGCTCCTGGCTTTCTCTCTGCCCCTTTGCTTTCACAGGAAGTGGGGGGCCCTGCCCTAGCTCCTGTTACAAGCGGCCGGCCGGCAGCCCACTAACCCAACGGGCCTGTGGTTCTCCAAGACCTAAGCCCAGCGGAAAGTTTCACCTTGTGGAAGGAAAATTTCCTTTGCTCTTTCCAGCCCCCTTTGACTCCCCCAAGCCGTATGCAGCAGACATCTGGGACTGCCCCTGGGGGACAGCCCTCTGCTGGCCCAGCTAGTTTCGATGCTCCTCCTCCAGGGAGCCTATATCCTCTTTGAGGGATGCTTCTCTCCTGTCTCCATCCACTGGGAGGGAAGTTCTCAGACAGTATGGTATTTGACTTCCATAAGCTGTGTTCTAGATTATACAATGACACTATCCCCACCTAAGTGTCCCTGACTCTCAAGGCAGTATTGACAAATGCACTTTGTCTTGTGTGGAACCCTCCAGTCCTCCCTCACAGCCATTGAGAGGTATATATCTTCCCTCTCCCTCTCTCTCTCTGAAAGGTATAGAAATTAAACTCTGTTGTAGAATACTAGTTTAAGATATGTTACATTTGTTTATGCTGCAGAATATCTGCTTGATGACGCAAAAATGTGTCGCATCCTTTTATGTTGCTTTTGTTTTGCTACGTAAAGCTGTGTTGCCTTGCCCGTCTAAAACACCTGATTAGTCTAATAAAGAGCTGAGTAGCCAACAGCTAGGCAGGGGAGAGAAATATGTAGGGCTGGCAAGCAGAGAGGATAAATAGGAGTCTAGGCTTGAGAAGAAAAGGGAAGAGAGAGAAAAAGGGGAGGAGGGGCCAGCCACCCAACCACACAGCCAGCCCACGGAGGAAGATTAAAGATTAAGAAAGATTAAAAAACGCCCAGAGACAAAACATAATCGAAGAGAAACGAGATAACTTAGAGAAGCTGGCTAAAAGCAAGCCAAGCTAAGGCTGGGCATTCATAAGTGAGAATAAGTCTCTGTGTTTACTTGGGAGCTGGGTGGTGAGGCGGAGAAGAGGGAAAAAAAGAAAAGGAAAACAACAACGACAACTACACAACTCAGGTTAAAGCATGCTGAAGGCAACCCCAGTGGTACATGGCGTGGTTGGGTTTGGACCGAGTTCTCTCTACACCATCAGGCCAGCATGAGGTGCTGTAAATGAGTCTCGTGTAGCCCAGACTGGCCTTGAACTGACTCAGTAGATGACAATGGCCTTGACATCTGATCTTCCCGCATGCACCTCTGGAGTCCCGCGTTGCAGACGAGCTCCAGATTTAAGGTTTTGTTTTGTTTTTTGTTTTTTTTCTGTTCAGCTTCTCTGAGAGAGTGGGGAAGTTTAAGATGGAAAATGAAATCCAACAGGCAGTACTCCTTTCTCTACCCTAACAGGGCCTGGAGATGAGGAAAGCACTTTACCTCTCCTTTTCCTAAGATGTCCTTTATGCATAACCCCTCAGAACCCCCTGGCTGCCTACCCCCAACTTTCCCTTCACCCCAATTCTTCCAGAAATAGACATAGCTGCCCCAAGACAACCTATGCGCTCTGCAGGGCTATGTTCTCAGTGGCCGCTCAATTTCACGTTTGAGCTCATAGGAAGAATAGAAGCAAAGGGCATCCAGCCTTGGGAGCAATAATCCCTGAAATGTTCCATTTAGTTCCAGGACATAGTATAAGGTGTTTGTTTGTTTTTTGTTTTGTTTTTGTTTTGTTTTTTTTGTTTTTTTTCTCTCCCCATTGGAAACAGGTTTAATTCAATTAATATAATCCTATTCTGTTTGACTCACTTGGTATACCAATCAATCATCTTCTCAGAGAACACCCAAAGGGTGAAGGCCCGTACGCTACAAGGAGGCAGCCACTAAGATGGAGCGAATGAGCCACGCAGGGGGACAAAGAGAGGCGGCGCACGCACGAGGGGACTGCAAAGATCAGGAAGGTGTTGACATCCCAGCTCCCTTCCTTATGGTCTTTTTCCATCCAGCATTCTTGAGCGTGCAAACGGTTCCTTCCAGGTCACACACATCCCTACTAACACTTCCTCATCCCAGGGTCCCCGGCTACTCACAGTGGTTCTCAGCTTGTCCAGCGAGGAGACCCAGGGGCCTCTTGGGTGTGTCTTCTTCCTCCAGGCGAGAGTCCTCAGCCTGCCACTGCCCAGAGGTCTTCAGGAAGCCGGCACAGATTCCATAGGCACAGCACTGGTAGGCATATGGTACCTCCAGGATCCTAGGGTGGAGAAGAGGCTGACTTTGAGGGTTTGGGGTCTAACCCTCACACCTTCCTAATGCTGTGACCCTTTAAGGTAACCCCTCACGTTGTGGTGACCCTCAATCATGAGATTATTTTCGTTGCTACTTCATGACTGTAATGTCGCTACTGTTACGATCATGACGTAGATATCTGCATTTCCCAGTGGTTTTAGGTGACCCCTGTGACAGGGTTGTTTGTCCCCTTTGGGATAGAGGACCCACAGGGTGAGAACCACTGCTCTGGACCTTTCTTTAGATGAGTCTTAAAGCCTGATTCCTGACCCCAAAGGCCTCTGGAGAGATTGTAGTCTTCTCGTCTTCTGGTCCCTCATCTGAACTGCCTATTGATTAGAAGTCAAGCTCAGCAGGCTCAGAGCTGGGGGCATTTCCCCCGGGTCACACAGTGTTCGGAGTACTCTGCTCCGCCTTGGCAGAAACTCTTGTCTATATTTAAGAAGGCAATAGTAAGGCAGGGGCTGGGATTTGACTCAGCAATGGAACACTTGCCTGGGTTTGATTCCAAGTGCTGGGGAGGAGGGGCGAGCATTCTTTTTCTTTTCCCCTTCCCTGCTTTCTGTCTTTCCTTCCTTTCCCCTCCCTTCCCATCCTTCCGTCCTTTGGTTTCCTGGCCTCAAACTCTACCTGTAGCCAAGGACGACCTTGAACTGCTCACCTTCTTCCTTCTACTACCCAGCTATACATGGCCATGCACAACGGCTACCTTGCTTTCGTTATGTTTCAGTGTGTGCCGAGTGGCATGCAGACGTGGCCTCCCCTATCCTGTCTGCCTATTTCCTTAAGGACAGGGGTTCTCCCTGTCTCTGCCCTCCTCAGAGCTGGGATTACAAGCATGTATGGGATCTCAGCTTATTTTATATGTGCCAAGATCTGAACTCCCATCCTCATAACTAAACAGTAAGAGCTCTTAACCACTGAGCCATCTCTCCAGCCTCTCTCACTTTAAAAAAAATTTTTTTTTTTAAAGCAAAGATTTCCCCAGTGACTTTTTATCCTTGTCTTCTGTGAAACCAACACCCTGTCCCCTTCCCAGCTCCTGGCTTTTGTGCCCTCTGAGGGTGAGGACAGACGCCTTGGGCATCTTGTTAGCTTGCAGCAGACAAAGCTTGGGCCACACAGGCTGCACGGCATTGAAGGAAGCCTGGATGTCATTAGCACCAGGGACTGGCTGTATAGCTTGTTTTCCATTCACCAGTGCCCTGGGCTCTGCCCCGATTCTGTGCCTCAGATGATGCCTAAGTAAGGATGGGGCAGCCTGGCTGTGCAGAGAAGAATAAGGCAGCCGCAGGGGCCTCTATATCAGCTTATTCCTTTCCCCACAGGTCCCTGTGCCCTTAAATCAGTGGTTGGGATAGGGAGAGGGGATAAGGAGGGCAGAGTCAAACTCTAAGCTACCAGGCTATTGTCAGGGTGAGATCTGACTTCAAGGCATCTGGGACGCACCTCCTCAGGCACAGGGCAAGCCAAGCTCTCACCTCAGTTTTGGGAAACTGTCCTTGGAGAAGGCCTGAGACAGGGCCAAGTTCCCTTTGAGCTTCAGGTGCATCAGGCCGCCAAGCCCGGCCAGGGGCAGTGTGGTCAGCTGGTTGTTGGTGAGGTCCCTAGGACAGTGGATGGTCAGGGTTACTGGCAGTCAGTGGGGCTGCTGAGGGGGCAGGGCTTTGTGGAGGGCGTGGCCAGCGTGCCTGGGACGAAAGCAAGAGGGGAGGGGCAAAGGACGGAGGAAGATAAGTACAGGGGAGGCAGGTGCGTGCCTGGGGTCAGGGTGCTTACGAAGGCTCTAAAGGCATCCTCTATTAACTCGGCCATCATTCATTCAACAAACCTTGGTGACTGCTAAGTATCAGGGGCACGTCTAACTTAATGTCAAGCTGTCCCAGTCTATCGGTAACAGCCCCGTAGTTGGTGTGTCTGCGTCCCATCCAGGAACTCTTGCTCAGCCTCCTGGGAGACCTCTCTGCTCTCTCTGCCCGTGTCCCATGCATGCCCCTCACTTCTCTAATGATGGAATAGGCCAGGGCCAGGCAGAGTGGGGCAGAGCTAGTCATCCAGCCCTCAGCGGGCATTGGATCATCCATTCTGCCCTGCAGAACCTGCCTGGTAGCCAGAGGTGAGGACATACACAGACCTCCCCTGGAGACATCATTAGACTAAGCCGGGAGTCCAATGCAAACACTCGGACCACAGACTGTGCGTCGTGGAAACAGCCCTGGACTGGCAGGCAGGAAACCAGGCACTGTCGCCAGCTCACCGCGTAACCAAAGGGAGTCACGAATCTGTCCAAGTTCCAAGGCCCTCACCGTGCAAAGAGTAAAAATATCTGCCCCACCTACCCGGCCGGAGTATAGTAGAGGGAAGATGGCGGTGAGACTTTTACGAGGCCCAGAGAGCCACACGGACTAGGGAGGGGGACCCCATGCCACATGGGAGTCATGGGCAAGTCCTTAAGCGGGCTACTCCTCCTAGAAGTTGGAGATGTCAGCAGTGAAGTGTCAGTGGCAATATCCAAGGCTAGAGCTGGAGCTAATCTCGGGGAGTCTATGTTAGTCAGAAAGGGGCCCTGTGTGGGTGGGAATGCCTTTGGCAGGCAAGCAGTCAGGTGGGAGGCAAGCTCCCCCTCGGGTGGAACCCTTGCATAGTTAATAACGTGCTCCACGGTGTGTGGCAACCAGTTCAGAGGCCCCTTTCAGCCTGGCACAATGACCATGCACCAGACCGTCATACTTTCTGTTTGAATCCCGGGTAACTTAATGAATCCCTACTGCCTTGCAGCTCTCGGAGACCCCCGAGTCGCCTGTCATCTGCCATCCTCTTGAACTGGGAAGTTCAGGCACGTATGTTCTCTCTGTTGGCGCACGTGGAGGATGCAGAGGCCAGGGAAGAGATGAGGGAGGAGGCATGGTGAGGACCGGTGTTTGCAGGCAGCAGGCTCTCTGTTTACCAGGCCTCACCATGTGTCAAACGCACTGTGAGAATGATTGATTAGGCTGCCCAGGCCTCCCTGTGATGTGTGATGAAATGTTTATACAAGTCCCTGCTCAGTGGTGGCCCTCCTGTGCCACCAACCAGCTCACAGTCCTGATCGGTCCCCAGCATCCTGGAAGAGAGTTCAAGGTGTACTTACAGCTTAACCAAGGAGTGCAGGGCTGAGAAGGCCTCAGGGTGGATGGCCCGGATGGCGTTCCAGCTCAGGTCTCTGTGAGCAGAAGCGTGAGGTAGGAGAGGGTGTAAACACGTGGGCCTATCTTGGACTCGCTCTCACATACTTTCCATCCGAAGTGGCAGTGGCCTTGGCCTTTTGAGGAAGGTTCCTACTACTGCCTAGTTCCCAACCTGGCTGTAGCAACTGCAATGGGGCCATCATATCTTGGCTCTAGAGTCTCAGAAATGCCTGGGTAGTGGCGGGAGAAGGGGTCTGACCAACTGTCTGGATTGGAAAGTCTGTCTGTCTCTCTCTCTCTCTCGTCTCGTGTGTGTGTGTGTGTGTGTGTGTGTGTGTGTGTGTGTGTGTGTGTGTGTGTGATGGGGCTGTGGAGAAGAAATATGCACACATGTCATGAGTGCTTAAACTGGATACGCGCTATGGGAATGAGCTTGGAGGGGACATGGGGTCCTCCAGAACGCACCCCTGGTTGCCACAGGTACTCACAGAGCTTGTAAGGAGCTCAGCCGGCTGAAGGTGTCAGCACCAATTTCCCAGATCCGGTTGTGCTGGAGGCCACTAGGGCAGCAAGAGAGACTAGATGAGCCTGCAGGCCCAGACTCTGGCTCTGCTCCATGCCCCCTAAGCACTGGAAGGAAGAAAGGAGAGCCCCCACTTCTGGCACGGGAAAAAAGGCCCGGCCCGCGGAAGTCACCAGAATTAGAGGGAGCACAAGGAGATCCGGTTGCCTTGGGTAAGTGGGTCAGGAGACAAAGCCACAAAAACCATCCCTGTGGCCCTAAAGGGAGTCAGCTTCCAGGGTTCCCACCGGGCCTGGCACCCAGCCCAGCTGAGGTGCTCCCCACTTCCCCCCACCGCCATGGGCCCTCCAGACCCTAGCCTAGCCACAGAGCATGCCCAACTGACTACACTGAGTGGAGAGCAGGGTTCAGTAGACTGATGGTCTGAATAGGAGATCGACCCTGGACTCCAGCAATGTTGAAGACATTGCCACCCAGGCAGTGGACAGGCAGAAGGACAGACCCAGATACGTCTGCCCTGACACCACCCCATGAAGCATCTGCCGTGCCTAGAGTCAGGGGCAGCTATGAGGAACTCAAGAGACCACAGTTGTTTATAGAAATTGGAGGTGGGCAAATGGGACTCAGGGAAAATTTTAAAGCGACATTTATACATTGCCACGTATTATCTATGTGCCCGTGAGCACACGTATACGTGTAAATGTTGATGGGCTGTGGAACAGGATAGCACACGCTCCAAAAACCAGGGTTCTTCTAGTTCCTCTGAAGACTTCTTGTGTCTCACACAGAGCAGCTTGGTGGGCCCGCCCGCCCCTGGCTCTGACTACAACTGCGTTTGGGTGCTGCTGTTATTTCAGAAGCCATCCTGAGACTCCTTTGGGCACCCATTCCTAGCAATATCATCTGCTGTGAGTCCTACAGTATGTGCCCAGGCCTTACTGAGCTCCCAGGCCTTACTGAGCTCCCAGGCCCACGTCTGGGTCCAACAAACCGAAAAGAAAGAGGCGTTAGAGCACGCTGTAGTCCTTGGGTCCCCTCCCCACAGACCCGCCCAGAGCCTCCCTTGCATGGCTTTCCCCCTAGCAGACCCACACTTACATTTCCTCCAACTTCTGACACCTGTGCAGGCTGGGCAGCGCTTCAATCTGATTATGAGACAGCTCCCTGCAGAAGAGACAGAACCCGGCTCAGCGGGGAGCAGCTGGGAAGGTCGGGGACAGGAGCAGGGAGAATCTTCTGTGGGCAGGGCTATGCCTTTCTGTCATGCACTTGATGGTCATGAGGACCATGAGGGACACAGTATGACAGTACCAATCTCCACCATTAGATTTCGTTACCCTCCTCCCTGCTAAGCCCTGCCCCCTTACTGAGCCAGATAGAACCAACTTGGCTTTTTTTTTTTTTTTTTTTAAGCAGGGCTGCCTTAGCAACAGGTAAATCCTGCAGAACCCTTGGAACATCCTGGGGGGGGGGGAAACAGAGGACAAAATGAGCGGCATGGAGAAGAGGAGAGAGGCCAAAATCGGGGCACGGGGTGCTAAAACAGTCAGCAGGGAGCATGGGTGTCCCCGATCAAGATGGCCAGCGCCACCCATGGAAGCAGTACCCCATGGAAATTGTGCTTCTGATCACCATTTATGGAGCTGGCAGGCGAGAAAAGAGCTTCGAGCCCTCAGGAACATCTGGCCCAACCCTTCCTTTTAGGCAGGGGATATGAGGCCTAGGACCTCAGCATAGAACCTGCCCAAAGACACACTGCCAGTTAATAGACAATGGGGGTAGAGCCCACATCCCCAGATATCAATGTACCAATCCTGAGCTCAGCAGGACTCTGTGTTGACCACTCTCCAGAAAGACATGTGACGGAGTTAGACAGAAGCAGAAGAGGCTTTCGCGGGGACACGGGGCCAGGGGTACAATGCCAGGACTGTAGAATGCGCATGAGCCACACTCACAGGATTCGGAGCCTGGGCAGCTGTTGGCACATTCCCGGTGGGAGCAGCCGGATGCCTGCTCGGGTCAGGGTCCTGCAGGGAGATAGAGCTGGCATCAGGCCCAGAGCCCTGCCTTTCCCAGCCACCCGTCTCGAGCACCGGACCCGATACTGTCCGTGGGAGGACAGAGCTGGCAAAAGAGAAGCCCTGGGATAAACAGGGCAGGGGGTGGGGGATATGGGAACAGGAAGTAGTCTGCTCTCTCATCTGAGTGATAAGTTCCCCTGGCCTTTGGAAGCTGGGGTGCGAAGTAGAGAGACATGGGGTCCCGATCCGCAGGCTCTGCTTGCCCGATGATCCACACAGATCCAAACCTACTCATACGCCTTCAGCCCACACACATCCCACCTTTCATAACGGTCCCGGCAACACTGGGCCTTAGAGACTAAGTCTTCCCGGCTCCTGGGGCCTTAAAGGGGAGGGACAGCCCTGGCAGTGAGTAGCTAGGAAACAGCTCCAGTGGGACCATGGGAACACAGTACATGCTCTTCTCCCTCTGGCCGGGCCCAAGGCTGGGGTGCGCAGAGGTTGTGAGGGCAGACTGGAGAATGGGCCTGGATTAGGCACAGAGTAGCCCTAGAAAGACTCCAAGGCCAAGGTCGTCCTTGGGAAACCATTATTAACTCCATGGAAAAATTTCCGCACGCCACTGAGCTAGGAAGAAGACAATGGGAACACAGAGAAGTCCGAGCAGAGCCATGAATGGGCCTGTGGTGTGGGCAGGGGCTGACTTGCTAACACGGGGGTGCCTGCTTGCTCCAATTCCACTCGCTTAATACGCTTTGAGGACATACTGCGCTCTTATCCATGCATGCCCAGTATTTTGAGGGCCTATTATATACTCATCCCAGGATCCAGAGTAGCATGCGTACACCAAGAGAGGCTTTGCTGGACCCAAGCCCCTCAAACTCACAGGAAATGGGTCCTCATGCACCATGGCTGGGGATGAGGAGCTCTGAAGCCAGACCTGACAAATCTCAGCACAACAGAGGAACGCCAGCCTCCTCCCCACATCCTGCTGCCCCTGCCTTGCCTGGAGGCAACACCACATCTGGAGATGGCCAAGGCCCTGGGGCTGAGCCAGTCGCAGAGGCAGAGAGAGGAGGGGTAGCCGGAGGAGCATGTGGCCTGGGCAGCCTTCCGGGTGAAGGGAGGTGGAAGGCACCAGTGGAGGGTGGAGGGGGTCCACTCACAGGATCTCCAGGCTGCTGGTGCCTTTGAGGTCTGGGAATTCCTGGATGTCAGTGGCACCATTCAAGGACCTGCAAACAGAGGAAACAGGCTCTGGAGGGCGGGTGAGTCAACATCTGCTCTCAGCCCTGGCCTTCTGCTCTACCTTTTTGGGTAAAAGACATCTTCCCCAAGCCTCCTTCAAATCGGCCTCTCTGGCCCTGTTGGAAGTTGAGCCATGTTTAGCAGACTCCGATAACTTGTTTGTTTACTTTTTAGAGACAGAGTCTCTCTTTTATATAGTTCCGGCTGCCTTTCCTGGAACGCACTACATAGACCCGGCTAGCCTCCCGAGTGCTGGGATTAAAGACGTGCGTCGCCATGCCCAACTCTCTCAATCACTTTCTTAAGTTGATAGACAGCCCTGCCCAAGCCCCAGAAGTGCTGAGATCGAGCCCATGGACACCAGCATTGAGACTCTGGCTTGTAGAAAGACAGAACAAAACTCAGACAAGGGACATGGGAAATGTTTCGTGTTGTTATTATTTGGTTTTGAGATGGGGGTCTCCTGTAGCCCAGATTGGTTTCAAACTCATTATCTAGCAGAAGTTAGCCTTGAACCCCTGATCCTCCTGCCTTCCCGTCTGGAGCACTAAGATTGTAAGTATGTACCACCACTCCTGGCAGAAATGTTCACCTGAAAAGGCAAGTGTTAAGAGTGATGTCACTTGGTGATGTCACACGCCTTTGGTCCTAGCCCTTGGAGAGTGGAAGCTAGACCGTCAGGAGTTGAAGGCTAGCCCTGTCACAAACAAAGTGTATGAGAGACCCTGAGAAGGCAGAGTGACATCCAGTGAGCCCAGTACTGGAAGTTAAGGGCCTGGGCTCATGCCCGTTCAGTGCCTCAACACCTCACATTTCATCTGTGAAATGGACTGAAGTACCAGCCTCACAGTTGGGATGAACGGGAAATGCAATTGGGAACACAAGAGCGCATGCCTGGAGGAGGTTAGCTGTGCAGTGAGGCCACAGTGAGCTGTGAATAGTCCCTGGATTTTTTTTTTTTAAGAAGTGGGTGGGACCCTGAAATTGGAAGAGTGGGTCAGGACACAAGGGGCTGCCTTCAGGCTCAGCGTGAGGAAGATGGCATTAGCAGTTGCGCCGCAGGTGGCTGGAGAAGCAGCCTGAAGGACACACACAACCTCAGTCCTGTGCACTGTTTCCCTGTGGGTATGTAGGGAGCAACTGCCGCAAGCCAAGTAAGACCAAAGAGGTGAAGGAGGCGTCCCTAGGTGTGGAGGAGGACTTCCTTCATTCACATGGGGCACGGGAGACCATCGAGCTCCCGGGGATCCAGGCCTGACCCCCTTCCAGCTGAGGGGTGCCTGGCCACGGAGAGGTCCACAGCAGAGGGCAGGAGAGGGCAGGCAGGAGCAAATGGGGGAGAAGTCCCGAGGACAGCACCATACGGCAGCCTCTGGTGCCCACTTACAGCGTGTGCAGTTTAGACAGGTACTGGAACGCCGACCTTCCCACAAACTGGATTGGGTTGTCATAAAAATGTCTGGAAGAAAAAGACCCGAGCCCCAGGTCAGACGTTCACTTCTTTTCACTTCTGAGTGGAGACTGAAAGAGGACAACAGGTCTCCCAGCTTCCTGTCTCCCCTGCTCTTTCTAGCAGCATCCGGTCTATCCGCCCCGGACACCCTCCATCCTTTAAAATGCACAGCAGCAGGTGCAGTACTCACATTGTCTGCAGGAGGGGGTTGCCCATGAAGGCCTTCTCCGGGATAGCCTTGATGTTGTTGTTATGGAAACCCCTGGAAGACAGCACCCAGGAGCAGTGAGGATTGGGAGAGAAGCAGAGAGAGGAAGAGCATGGAGCTCCATGGGGCTTTCTGACAGCTGAGTAGACAGGTCCTGAGATCAAAGGGACCTCAACCTGGAAGTCTCCACCTCCAGCCAACAAGATACTCCAGCGGGTCTCTCTCTCTCTCTCTCTCTCTCTCTCTCTCTCTCTCTCTCTCTCTCTCTCTCTCTGTGTGTGTGTGTGTGTGTGTGTGTGTGTGTGTGTGTGTGTGTGTGTGTGTTGGGAGGGAAGTAGGAACAGTTCCAGAGTAAGTAGTTGAGCTCAGGTCCTAAGAAAGAAATCCACTCCTTGGTCATATGTGGTAGGAGCCATGGTAGGCCCCACAGAGGAAGCTAAGGATGTGTGGAAGGAAAAGGAGCATACAAAAAGGAAAGAACTTCCGGGGGATCCTGAGGGAGGGAGGGAGGGAGGGAGGGAGGCGCTTCCAGAAGTGAAGACACATTGAAGGACCAGCAGGGGGTGGGGGGGGAGCAGAGTCAGGTGATAAATGACTATGGATGGCATCTGTGGGTGGTGAACAGTGAAGTACCCCACCACATTTCTGGGGTCTGGAAACCAAGAACAGTTTGTCTGGGTTGCTGTGACGCTTTCCCAAGAAGCAGCCTGTGGGTTGCAATCACACAGCCCCGTCTGAGCAGGCCTCTCTCAACATCTCCTTCCCTACTGCAAAGCTATGGCTTTGTGCGTCCTAACCCTGCTCGCTTCTTGCCGTTTCCCATCATTCCTTTCACTTCCAAACTGTCACTCAAGGTTCATCCACAGACATCTCTGGATGGCGCTACCCAGCAAGGCTTGCTACCGTCTTCATTCCTTCTAGACACCCTTTTGTGTACCGGGCTGGGTCAAGCTCCGGGAAGTTGAGAGATTTAGATAATAGAGGCCCTGTCTGCAAGCAGCTTTCTCTCGGTAGATCATGCATGCACGGGTGGGTGGGTGGATGGATGGATGGCAGATGGATGAACTGAAATCTACATGTGTGCATTTTTTTTCTCCAGAAAAACTCATGAACCTTCATGTCTCCTTAATTGGATTCTGGACTAGCTATATGTTAGACTTCTGAGGTCACTGAGCATACCCCATCAAGGTTGGTGTCCCTTTCGTGGCCATCCCACCTTAACCACTTCCTGTCAGGTCTGTGCTTGTACTGTTCCACTGACTACCCACCCTCTTCCACCGTCACTGTCCCCCGAATCCCAATCATCCTTTGGAAGCAGTCTCCGCCGACCTCTGGGCATAGTGAGATGTCTGCTACTCTGAATTTTCATAGCTATTTTAGCCAACATACTATACCACAAGTTAAGGCTGGGATTAGACATTGCCTTGTCCTGTTCCTGTTTCATGACTGCTCCTTCGTGTCACGGATGGGTTTGAAGGGTCCCCACGTCTGCCTTACGCTTGGTTCACCTTAGCACCAAGCACAGAACCCAGTGTACTGAGTGTTCAAATAGAATGATAAATGGTTGGGTAAACGAGATGGCTCAGCAGGAGGGAAGTGCTTTCCACGCAAGCTGAGTTCTATGCCTGGAACCTACGTAAACGTAGGAGTGACTGACTTCATAAAGTTGTCCTCTGACCTCCACACATGCGGTGTGGCATGCACGCCCCCACGCTTACATACACCGCGCATACACGTGCATGCATGCTCACACACAACTAAAATGATAATAGTAATAAATGGCCATGGGGCTCCAGAGTCAATTTCTTAATCCTTCTGGGGCTGAAAATCAAGAGTGGCCATATAAACCAGTCCCAGGTTCTTCTAATTCTTCCTCAGACATAGACAGGGCAATGCCAGGCCCAAGCTTCAAGAGGTGGTTTCTTCCCTGTATGCTCCCAGGCTTCAAAGCCCCAGAGCCATTTATGCTGCTGATGTGGCCCCAAGAGATGTTCAAAGCCAAACTACCAGGAGCTGTGATTGCTAAGGGCTGCTCTGGGGCTATGGAGGGTTTCCAGCCACAGCTTCCATGAGGACCAGTCATAGGACTATGGGAGGTGATTTGGTGAGTTAGCTGTCCTCAGCCCCTGGGAGAAGCAACCCCGGAACACAGCAACAGAAAGAAGATCTTACAGTTCCTGCAGCCTGCCCAGGCTCCGGATGGCCACGGGGAATTCCTGCAGCTCGTTATAGTTCAGGTCTCTGAAATGGAAAGCAGAGCGGTCATTAGCTCAGAGGCTTAACAGGGCATGTCAGGGTCCCTGAGACATGGAAACTTGGCTAGAGGGTTGGCCCGGGAGATGGGTTTTCCAATCTGTTGGCTCCAGCTGCCAAGGTCTGAAGACACATTTTCTGAATGTTTGTACTCCATTCCTGTTCCACAAATCCTCAGGCTTGGAGCCTTCCTGGCAGCAGAACTGTTTTGAGTGGGGACAGGTTTTAGGGGTGTGCATATCTGGAACTGCCCACCTCGGATTGATCTCTACAAAGCTCAGGAAAGTCTGTTTTAGGTCTTTGAATTCATCCCTAATCCTCCCATTAGGGATGGGAGAAGAGAGAAAAGGAAGTGATCTTTAACATATTACCAGATCTGGTGATTCCAGAAAGTTCTTCAAATTACAGCTACCTTGGCTACAGCCTCTGCTGTTTTGAGATGAAACCTTCCTGTGTATTTCAGATGCCTTGAACTCTCTGATCCTTCAGCGTTGGACTCCAGTGTGTTGGAGTTAAGATGTGTGTCATCACACCTGGCTGGCTGGCTGGTTTTTACCATTGGGCGGTGTCATGTGAGTTAACCTTTACTTTCTCATTGTTTTGCAGCATTTTCCACTTTCCCTTTTACCCGAGGAACACTTATCACATGCATAATCAGGAAACAATGGAAGAAAGTTTTTTGTTTTTGTTTTTTTTAAAGGGGCAGCAAGCCAAGGTGGCAAGGATGAAGGAAACCAAGCTCTCCAATAAACTGAATACGTACAACTTTTAACAGCATGGTATCAAAAAGAAATTCACATAGTCAGGCTCTCTCATGTCCATTATCATACAGAAAAGCCCATTCCTGCATGTGAAGATATTTGTATAAAGACACTCATGATCGCATCCTTTTAGGCACTACAAGTCAAATACCAACTGAACCATAAGCAACCATAGCTCCCGCCCCCAACACACACACACGCACACTCACACACACTCATACTCCACAATACACATTCACACACTCACACATACACACACACTCATACTCCACAATACACATTCACACACACACTCACACATACACACATACACACACACTCATACTCACACACACACTCACATATACACACACTCACACACACTCATACACACACACACTCACACACACACTAACATATACACACACTCACACACACTCATACACACACACACTCACACATACTCATACACACTCATACTCCACAATACACATTCACACACACACATATGCACACGTACTCACACACACTCATACACACACACTCACCCATACACACTCACATATACACACACACTCACACACTCATACTCCACAATACACATTCACACACACTCACATATGCACACGTACTCACACACACACTCACACACACTCACACATAGACACATATACTCATACACACTCATACTCACACATACACATTCACACACACACTCACACATACACACACACTCACACATACACACAGTCACACACACTCGCATATACACACACACTCACACACTCACACATACACACACACACTCACACACTCAGTAGCCAGTGAATTAGCCTGTGTGGGGTGTGCCTAATTTGGGGTGGGGGTGTCTGGATGCCTCTAAAATCCTGTGTCTGGGGTGCACAGTCCCAGGCTTTGGGAGTGTGTGAGCTTCTCTAGTCCATCTTTTCAGCCCTGACAACTTTAATGGCTGCCCAAGGCTACAGCAGGGGACTATGTGGAGGTCTTTCCATTGCAAAGTAGCTTGGCAGAGTTTGGGGGATAAATGCCATGCTAACACAGAGATAATGACAGGCTATTCTGCATGGGAGGGTCATTACACTTAATAGGCCACAGGTAGAGCCAGGAACCCAGCCTAGGAGGCCAGAGGAGCAGGGACAAGCATCTGGCAGCCAGTGAGCTACAAAACTGTTCCCCTCCACACGCAGGCTAATTACGCATTACCCTCAGACTGCCCTATCGATCGTGGGCAATTAGGCCAGAAAACCCTTCTGCTCTGCTCCATCCTTTAGTAAGCCAGACACGTTTGGTCTCCCGTCTCTCACAGTTATATTTGCTCACAAAGATGCTCCCACCGTCTGTGTGGGGACAGGGCTGGGGACAAGCGGTGTGCAGGATGACTCAGGGGCAATGCTGAGATTGGGGGGGGGGTTCTAACTGTGGGGTTGGTTCTCGGAGCTCTGTCAAGGGCTGCACAGGTCACCCAGTGCATCCAGTGAGGAGTGTGGAGGGGGGTGTGGGCATCAGGGGAAGAGACACACACTTTTGTGGTCCTCGACTCCATGAATGGTTTGTTGTTAGGTCTCAGTGTTTTGAAATCAAGAGCGCCCTTTTATCTTGGTCCAGTTACCTTTAGGAACACCTCACTGTTGCCCATGAAGAATTGTATTTTCCATAAATAAAAAAAGATGTGTCTTCATTCAAAATACGTCATATGGGATATTGATGTTAATCTTAGAGATGATGGAATTATCTCTAACAAAAAAGAATTGCAGTGACCTAACCTGAGACCCTTTAGTTGCTAACCATTCCCCCTACCTAGAATATTCTGCGCCCAGGTATTTGTATAGCCATTTACTGTTATGAGAGTTTTTCTACCAGCCTGGTCCCACAATCATGTCAGCCCCAAATGACACACAGAGATGCAATATTAGATATAAAGCTGTTGGCCTGTTACTAGTGTTTCTTATTGGCTAGCTCTGTCTTAAATATTAACCTATTTCTATTAGTCTAAGTGTCTCCACATGGTTTTAATCTTACCGGAGAGAGGATCCTGACCTCTGCTCTCTCAAGTTTCTTCATCTTGAATCTCCTCCTATTTCTCCCCGAATCCTCCTTGTCTCCTAGTCCCGCCAATCTTGCTTTCCTATTGGCCAACAAGGCTTTATTCATTAACACAAGAGAAACATATTTACAGAATGACATCTCCCATCAACTTACTTATTTCACTCAGGTCCTTCCCTGATTGCCCCTCTTCAGAGACGCCTTCTCTGGCCAGTGGATTTTAAATGCACCAGGTACCTCCCCACTCCTTTGTACTATATTACAACACACCTCAAACACCTCACAGTTTCCACTTCAAAATGCAGCATCGCATAGCCGGCTCATCTTCACGTCTCACTGTTTCAAAGTCAAGTGCCCTCTTTTAACTTGGCTCAATTCCTTCAGAAATCTTCGATTTTTGCCCACGAAGAATTATATTTTTCATATAGTAGCAAAGATGTGTCACTCTGAAGACATGCCTAGTCTTCTCAATGGCAGTGACCAGAACAAGATAGAAGTAATATGGCATGACCTGGTCCTAAGTCATAAGAGCCTTAGCTTTCACAGCCTGGGAATCCCCAGTCTACACTAGAAGGAAGCCCAAACTGGACTCATGAGTGGTGAGCTATGTGGAGAGGATGAACTGGCAGCCAACAGTGTGGCTGCCAGTTAGTGAGCTAGCCTTCCTCCTAGCAGACCCCTTAGCCCTTGCTGAGCATCCAGGGACTACAACCGTCTGAATGAGCCCAGGGAGCTTAGCCAAGCTGTGGACTCACGAGAAATAATAAGGTGTTATTTTAGGACACTAAGGGATTGGAGTGGTCTTTTTACGTCTCAAGAGACATCCTGCTTGCTTTGCCTTCGTGGAACTTATTGGCAAATGACATATTTATTTTCTTCCTACCCACCAGAACAAAAGCTCCTTGAATGCAAGAATTTTGTCTGTTTCAAATTTTAAACACCAGGATAATATCTGACACAGAGCAGAACCTCAAAAACTATGTGTTGAATGAATAACTGAAAAGCTCTAAACAAGTTTATTAATATTTTTTTAAAAAAAATAAGTGAACTCATGAGAATTCACAGTGATTTGAAGCATGTTCTCCGTGTTTGTTTGGTTTTTTGTTTGTTTGTTTTGTTTTATTTGTTAGCTTTTGTATTTGCTTTGGTTGTTGTCAAAATGACACAAGACAGTCTGGAGTGACAGTTGGGGTCACCCTAAGCCACAGAGACCATGGAATGTATCCTGTGTGGCTTTGTTCTCATGGAGCTCTTACACAGCTCATTGGACCCATGTCCAGGCTGCCAAATTGAGTGGTTCCAGTTCTCCTTGGCAGTTTTTGGTCAGGAACTTTGCCAGGAGTAGACAGACAGTGGTAAAAGGCATGTGGTAAAAGGCATGCGGACCAGAAGGCTATTTTTATAGAGAAATGTGGGAGAAGAGAAATCGTACAGTTGTCCGAAAGAACTCTGCAAACTTCTTCCTCGTGAGGTGGCTACACTGGGGTGTCTGCCAAACCTAGCTTTGCTTGGTGCCATGTAGATGGAATCTAGCTCTGGCTGTTCAGGGACTGTCCTTGCAACCCTCTCTGCACCCAAAATACACAAAGAATTCTGCTGTGCAGCATGGACGATAGAGAGATCGATAAAAGCACACCTGTCTAGACAAATGCACCAGACAAGATGAGCTCCCTCAGTACATGCGATGATGTTGCAGGTCCTGGAGAGTAAGTCCACAGAGCATCGGGGCTGTCACATACCTGGAGAGACCACATCTGGAGGACTGTGTGGAAATGGGATATTTGAACTAGGTTTGAAGAGAGAAGTGGCGTAGCTCAACCGAAGCAAACGGAAACACGCGGAGGGAAGGGAAACTCACCCTCATGGGTTGCCACGTACTATCCAGAACAACGTTGGCTGGGCACTCACTATGGTGCACTGACTGATTGATCACCGCCCTCCCGTGGCCTGGAGAGACAGATTCTCTTCCTACACCATTTTGTTTTTATCAGTCCAAGGGAGTGAGAACACACCAGTTGTTCAGTCATCAATACCCAGCAAGTGGCTCTGGCGGAGATCAAAGCTTATTTGCCCAGATCCCTCTTCCCTTTGCTTTATAAATTGCACTATCCAATACCAGAGCCAGTAGCCACATACGGCCATTTGATTACAAGTAAACAAAATTTTGATCTTAGTTCTTGGTAG